TAACACTTACCCCAAAAATGAGCTTCATAGAGCGTTAATCAAAATGTTTAACCCCCTACTAAGTTTGCAAATGGCATGGGCAGATGATAAGCTCACTAATTCTTTTTGATACATTATTCATGACTTGTTCTCCTTTTCTGGCAACACTTTTTTTCTTAAGAAAAAAAAACAAAAAAAAATTGAAATACAGGAAAAAAAACCCAGTTTGTTTTTCAAGCAATTATTGCAAAAATAATTTGGAATCCAAAACATTTAGCACTTCCTTTATGGCTCGCCTGTTTGATCCCAACCACCACACTGCGCGCAACGTACGGCAATTCGTCTGCAGGACCGGAGCACCTGAGCGACCTCAGGAGAAAGCGGCAGCAGGACTCTCCCTTGCTCGGTTTTAGTTTCCAAGGACCTACAAGCCGCTGAACAACATTATGTCTGCATACCTAACAGTTATGTTGGCAACTAAAACTGCCCAACCAACAACTAGTGACAGCAATTGAAACTAGTGATTCAGGGGCTGGCCATATGATAGCTAGAAAGGAAAAAAAAAAACCTCCTACTCTTCCCGTTGATAATTAAGGAACGACTGCAGCCAGGCCCTGAGTTCAAAATGTTGCTCTCTGCCCGGCCTTTGCCACCCCGTGAGCAGCAGAGAGAGTTACCAGCCACATTTGCAAATTGTATTTAACACTGCCTAGGGCTGATTCGGCACTTCTGAGGGAGTTAGTGAACTAACGCGCACCTCGGTTTGCCCCTCTTTATAATAATGCTCATGCAAAGGTACACGTACGTTACCAATCAGGCCACCACAATATATGTGAGCAGCTCTGAAGCCGAGTTAAAAGGAAAACTGATGTGGGTGGTGACCGATTTTTGAGCGCACGGGGTAATGGTGGTATTATTTGCTGGGTGAGTTGTTTGAGGTTGTGCTGAGCTCCATCAGGTAGGAGCAGTTTATTTATTTCCAAGCCAGTACATCCAACAACATTTTTCAGGGGAGCCAGGATTTTTAATGCAAACTCTGCTCTCCAACAGCTGAGCTCTAAATAAAACACTAATTATTGTGAATCTCAGCATAAGATGATGAGGGTCCAATGCCCTCACCAGCAGAGCGAAAGGGAGAATCTTTCTTCTGGTGATAAGCGTTAAGCTCTTGGGAATAAAACGCTCTGTTGTGTATATTTGTGTGTGTGTGCATATACCTAGAGAAAAATAAATACGTAAATACATGCGTGCACACACACACACACACACACATTTGTCTGGAGAAGGAATATTCAGCCAAAATATTTGGGACAATTTTCCTGAAGGCCTTATTCTAAGAAGAAAGCTATGTAGTATTTCATTTCATAAAAGCTATGTAGTACTGTAAATAAATTGTAGGGGAAATGGGTTGCAGAAGGAAATCATGGAAATAGGTTAGAAATGGTTTATTTCTCTAATGAATCAGGTATTTGTCTAAGAAGATTTTATGAGGTGAACAGATGAGGTTAGCTCACTAGATGGGAGTAACTCTGTAATACAGCCTTGTCCTAAAGTGGTATTGGATTAGGGTCCAAAGGTCAACAGGAGGCTCTTCACTGGCTATAGCGGTTCTGGAAGTGACTGCAGGAGATGAGCTTGTTCATTTTTCTGAGCATTGCTCCAGCATTTTTCACTTCCTACAAACTGAACAGCCTTGTCATAGAAAACATCTCATATGGGGCAAGGGTGACAGTCATAAACTATGTTTTGCAAATACTCGCTAGCCTTACTGTAAATTTCCCTTAAAGTAGCAAGAAATCTAGACACAGTCACATACCAAGGATCTGGCAATTTCCTAGTGATGTTTGCTACCGAATAGAACTATTCAACACCCAGAAAAGCCTCTCCAGGTTAAAAAAAAAAAAAAAAAAAAGCGAGATTCTCTTTGTTTCTCACTTTTCAATCTCAAGTACCTTACAGCATTAGGTTTTGTTAAAAAGGCTCTGCTTTGAACACTCTGCTTCCAAATACTCTCCCTGCTTGAGAGAGCAAAGTATGAATGAAACACATCAAAAGGGTTTACGACTTACAGCATTTCTTAAACACCTCTTCTTCCCTGGTCAGGCAAGGTCCATTCTCTCCCTAAGTTTTTACAGTCATCTCTTACTTCTGACCTATGGTTCTCCTGTCTCTTTTACAGTGTTGTCCAGAGCGGGTAACATTACTTCATGCAAATTTTACTTCCCTTATCATTCTTAGAAATCTTTTTTATCTGCAGCATACATTCACAGGAGGAGGTACGGCAGTCTTTTCAGAGCTATCTGTTGGCACACCCATTCTATGTTGCTTCCATTCAGCCCTGTCATTAAAATTATTACCGTTTTGGAGAGCAGAAAGGTGACTGGCTCAGCAAGTCAGTATATTTTCAGCCAGACAAGTCCAACAGTCATGTCCTACAAGTGTAAAAAATAACTTCATGGATTATATGCAGGAAAATAAAATCCCTGTCCTTTTGTCTGTAAGAGAATCTCTTCAGACCTGAAGTAACTTTGTCCCTGCCTCGGTTTCCTGATTTCCCTGTAGGTAAGTCTCCCACTAGGCTGGCACAAAAAGCATCCTTCCAGCTCCCACTCCCAAGCTGGGGTTTTCTGCAGGAGTCTCTCCCTGGTCGCTAGATTTCCCCCTTTTCATTTAAGCACCTCCCCAGGCTGCCATCTGAGACAGGGGATAACCCCAGCTCCCCTGGAGGGCCAATCCTATGGCTTGGCTATCAAATAAAACACATTTTCTGAGATATTCCGTCCCTCAGACTGTCAAAGTTGATTAGCTAAGTGCTTACACGTACCATCCACACGTTAACATCCCTCCCGTGCCACTGGTACCCAGCCAGACAGAAAGTCCCTCACTTACAAAATCATCATCCCTTGTTTGCCAATTTTTGCAGCCCTGGTCCAGAGCACACTAAAGTCAAGGGGATGTTTTTCATGGGCTGACATGGATTTTGAAACAAGCTGACCTTGTATGAAGCAAACTGTATACATGCACCTGTCATACTCAGTTGCTGAGTGAACTGCTTTCGATTTAACTTCTGCTGTATGTTATTATCGTGGCACAGTTATTAGCATTTAAATCACCTTTTCCCTTGTCATTTCTATCTTTAGTTTTCCCTTTTTCCCCTCCCCGAGTATGACTGATGATAGAAGCCTGACTTAGTAGGAAATTATGTAGTTGTTAGACAAGGATGGAATTGCATTTTTTAGTATTACAGCTTATTTAAATTTAAAGGACTAGGAAGCAAAATGCGATTAACACAGCCATGACAAATATATGATTAATGTTAGCTATTTTTTCCCACTGTAATATTTTTCCTTTCACTTTCTTCTTTACAAATGGGTGAAAGCACACACTTAATTTTCTGGTATCTTTGCTCAAGGAGCATGGGAGCAAGCGCCTAGTCTTAGAAAACAAGAGCTTCTCAGCAAAACTGAGTGACTCAGGACAAGGATAAAAGCTGTTTGAGACGCAATACTCACTTTGGCTGCCCAGCTTAACACTCTGAGTAAGTATTAGTGTCTACTGTCCTACTAAAAATGTAATGATAGGCCCTATATAGGGCAGCCTGACACAAGACCGGGGCCTTACCTGTCATAAATACCAGAACAAGAGAGAAGAGATTTCCCCACCCCACAGCGGTGTGGCGAACAAGCACCCTGCGTGGAAAGCTGGGGCAAAGGAGGAGCGGGTACAGCAAGCACAAAACACGTTTTTAGTGCAAACGCGGCAAGCGGGGATTAGGAGGGCTGCACATAAGGGGGACCGAGGGCAAGTCAGGGGACAGCGGGGCATCTTCTCAGTGCCCGGGACAGGGGACAGCCTTCGGCCACCAGCGCCGCTAGGGAATTCCCGCAGGGTGAAGTGCGCGGATCTGTTGACGGCCGAAGCACGGCGGCGGCGGCGGCTCCTCCTGCTGTGCCCCCATCTTCCCAGGCTTCTGCCCTGTGGCCCTCACCGCGCACTCCGGGCTCACAAACCACCGGCGGCGGCCCACCCGCCCCAGGCCCCCCCGGGAGCCGCCCC